GCGGGGCCCTCCCGCTTCCTCCACCTAGACTGCAAAAAGTCAACAAGACACAGAGCATCTGACAAATGTACGTGCCAACGTATGTAGACATTGAGCGAGGAGAACAGAGGACGGCGATATATATATATATATATATATATATATATATATATATATACAAGACTGCAGTGGCGCTTCGTGCCATGCACCTTGGTCCTTGAAGTTTGGTATGCAGGCGGAAATGGCAGGAAGGTCAAGCCGACACTTTAGCGATAACTCCTTGCTGCCTAGTCTGGGATCGCCGTTATAATAATGTTGTTCGGTTTCCTTCCTCCATGCTTATGTTTCCTCATTCTCGCCATACCCTGGGCATTCTCCCCATCCTCCGCAGCTCTTTTTGCGGAGGCTCCTGTTTGGAGAGCCTCTGGGGGCCCCACCAAAGATCTCAGGCTTTCTTAAAGCCTTCTGGAGGCCTCCTGGTTGTGTTCTGGGGGGGGCTTCCTAAGGCCAACCTGCCTCTAACCGCGGTCTCCCTGAACGCCCCAGTCACGATTTGGAATGCTTCGGAGGGTGTCTTGGGGCCATCTTGGGCCGCCATGGTGCTCTCTTAGGGCCATTTTGGACTCCTGTTCTGCCGTTTTGGGGCTCTCTTGGACTGCCTGGAAGCCCTTTCGGATGGTTGTGGGGCGAATTTGGAGCCTCCCAGGCGGCTTCGGACGCCTAGTAGACCACCGTCTTGGAGCGTCGGGAAGCCGAAAAGAGGAGAACCCTGAATGCACCAAAAACCTATATAGAATCAGCGATTTGTCCCTCTTGGGGTCTCCTTGGGGGTGCTTTTGGAGGCCTCTTGGTACGTTTTGGAGCGATCTTTCGGGGTATGACGGATTCTTGGAGCGCTCTTGTGCTGTCTTGGGGGTCTTTGGGACGTCTCCAGTGACCCCCCTGATCGCCCTGGGTGTGCTGCGAAGGCTTGGCAAAACGCCCTGCTAGGCCCAGGGGGCCGCTTCGAGGCCCATCCAGAGGGTCCCAAAGCTCCAGATCCCGGGGGTCCGGTTTTAGGGGGGGGGTGATGGGTTTTCCCCCCGCCCAGGCTTATAAACATATAGGAAGAGGAATATATATATATATATATATGTATATATGTATATATGTATATATATATATATATATATAGAGGGAGAATGGATAGGAGGAAGAAGCGGAGTGACGTCCCCAGGAAAAGTTTAGGGAAGGGACATTCGTTTCCGTCTCCGTTTCTGTCTCCGTTTCAGTTTTCGTTCCCGTTTCCGTGTCCGTCTCCGTCCCTTATCTCAGTTTCTTTGTCTCTCTAGATCTCTCTTATTATCCCTCCCCCTCTCTTTCTCCCTCTCCCTCTTCCTCTCCCTCTTCTTTTGTTCCACCCTCTCTTTCTTTCTCTCTCTCTCTTTCTCTCTCTTTGTTTCTCGTCGTCATCTATCTCTTTCTCGATCCGTTGTTGTTTTTGTCGTCGTCGTCGTTGTCGTAGTTGTCGTCGTCGTTGATGTTGATGCTATTGTTGCTGTTGCTGTTATTGTTGTTGTTGGTGCTGATGTTGCTGTTGATGTTGCTGTTGTTGTAGTTGTTGGTGCTGCTGTTGTTGTTATTGTTATTGTTGTTAAGGTTGCCGTATTGTGTTGATGTTGTCGTTGTTGTTGTTGCTGTTGTTGTTTGTGTTGTCGTTGTCGTTGTTGTTGTTGTTGTTGTTGTTGTTGTTGTTGTTGTTGTTGTTGTTGTTGTTGTTGTTGTCGTTGTTGTTGTTGTTGTTGTTGTTGTTGTTGTTGTTGTTATTGCTGTTATTTTTGTTGTTGTTGTTGTCGTTGTCGTTATCTTTTTTGTTTGTATCTATATCTATTTCTCTTTCTCTTTCTCTATATTTCTCTTTGTCTGTGCCTTTGGAGTAGCAGGAGGAGGGATGATAGGAGGAGGATAATATTGAGGAGGAGGAGGAGAACGAGGACGAGGTGGAGGAGGAGGGGATAGGGAATTGTTCGGAAACGGATTCGGACAAGGGGGGGAGGACTGCCAGAGAAGTGGGAGGGGCAGAACAATGAATGGCGGGCTCCCCAGGGGGCACCGAGCCCGGGGCATCTGCGCAGCTCCTACGCCTCGTCCTCGCCCCCCTCCGCCCCCCTCTTCTCGTCCCCGTCTTCCCCACTCGAGCTCGAGCGTCCGGCCGCGCTGTGATGTCCTTGGGAGGAGTGGGCCGGCGTCGTGCCGGACTCGAAGTGGATGGAGAACGTGACGTCCTACGAGGACTTGGGGCGAGCGACCCCTCCTGAGGCAGTTGTGGTGGTCGTTGGATGTGCACAGGAGGGCTATGGGTACAAGTGTTCGATGTAGTCGTGGTTTGGGTCGTGGTCGCGGTCGCGGTCGTAGTCGTGGTCGTGGTCGTGGTCGTGGTGGTAGTAGTGGTAGTAGTAGTAGTAGTAGTAGTAGTAGTAGTAGTAGTAGTAGTAGTAGTAGTAGTAGTAGTAGTAGTAGTAATAGTAGTAGTCGTAGTAGT